TCATGGTGAATGATCCTTATCATGGGCTGCTGATATTAGCTTGCTAGTATTTTATTGAGAATTTTTGCATCCTTACTAGCAGTTCGTTTATTCAGGCTTTTTATTTCTTATTGTCTTGGTGGTTTACATGTTTCTAAGAATTTACATTTCTTCAAGGTCGTCCAGTTTATTGATGTGTAGTTGTTCATACTGGCCTCTTATGGTTCTTTGTATTTATGTGGTATAAGTGATAATGTCTTTTTTCACTTATAATTTTGTTGATTCGAGTCCTCTCTTCTTTTCCTTGGTTTGTCTAGCTAAAGGTTTGTCAGTTTTGTTTTACCTTTTCAAAGAACCAGTCTAGTTTCATTATTTTTTCTATTTCATCTGTGTCTGCTTTGATCTTTAATATTTCCTTCCTTCTGCTAACTTGGGGTGTTTGTTCTTTTTCTTGTTCCTTAAGGTATATGTAGAATTATATTGTTTAGGATCTTTCTTTTTAATGTATTTATTGCTGTGAACATCCTTCATAAACAGCTTTTGCTGCATCCCATAACTGTTGTGTTTTCCTTTTTATTCGTCTCAAGGTACTTTATTTCTTCTCTTATTTTTTCTTTGAGCCATTGGTCATTTAGGAGAGTGTTGTTTAATTTCCATGTATTTGTGAATTTTTCAGTTTTCTTGTTACTGACTTCTAGTTTAATACCATTATAGTCAGAGAAGATAGTTCATATAATTTCAAATATAATTTTTTGAATTTGCTAAGACTTGTTTTGTTACCTAACATATAGTCTATCCTAAAAAAAAAAAGTTGTGTGTGTGCTTGAGAAGAATGTGTATTCTGCTATTGTCAGAATGCTTTGTATATGTCTTTTAGGTCCATTTGGTCTAGAATGTTGTTCAGGTCTGTTATTGTCTGTCTGGATGATCTGTCCATCGTTGAGAGTGTAGTAGTAAAGTACCCAACTATTATTGTATTGCTGTTTTTCCTTTTAGCTCTGTTATTTTTTGTTTTTCGTATTCAGGTGCTCCAGTGTAAGATGTATAAATATGTACAATTATTATATCCTCTTGATATATTGACCCCTTTATCATTATATAATTACTTTCTCTCATTTTTAATTTAAAATCTATTTATCTGATGTAAGTATAACTATTCCTGTCTTTTTTTCCTTTTTTGGTTACCATTGCTTGAAATATCTTTTTCCATCCCTTCACTCTCAGTCTCTGTGTATCTTTCAGGCTAAAGTGAGTCTCTTGTAGGCAGCACATCATTGGATCTTGTTTTTTTCTGCATTCAGCCATTTTATGTCTTTTGTTGGAGATTTTAATCCATTTACACTTAAAGTAATTATTGATAAGTAAGGACTTACGATTACCATTTTTTTATTTTCTGGTTGTTTGGTAGATCCATTATTCCTTGTTTTTGCTATCTTTATGTTTTTATCATGAAGCTTACATAAACATCTTAAAAATTATAACATACTGTTTTAAACTAATAACAATTTCAATAGCTTTATACTTTTACTTCTCACATTTTAGGTTATTAATGTTACTTAGAGTTTACATATTTTTAATATTGTGTAACTGATGATGTTATCTATTTCACTGTTTTTTTAACCTTTTAAACTAGTGTTGTAACTATGCCATATTACATAACCAATTTATACTATATATTTACCATTACCAGTAAGTTTTACACTGTCTTCTTATGTTTATGATATTATTTGGTGTCCTTTTATTTCTACTCATGGAACTCCTATTAGCATTTCTTGTAAGGCCCATCTAGTGGTGATAAATTCCCCCCAGGTTTTGGTTGTGGGGAAAGTCTGTCCTTCCTTCATTTCTGGAGGATAGCTTCACCAGTATTCTTGATTAACATTTTTTTTTTCTTTCAATATTTCAAATAAGTCATCCCATTCTCTTCTGGCCTGAAAAGTGTCTATTGAGAAATCTGCCAATAGTCTCACAGGGATTCCCTTGTGAAACTTCTGTCTTTTTCTGCTTTTAAAATTTTTTCTTTTATTTTTGACAATTATGTGTCTCAGTATAACCCTCTTAACGTTCAACCTATTTGTGATCCTTTGGGCCGCTGATCTGGGTGTCTACTTTACCTGGGTTTGGGAAGTGTTCAGCAGTTTTTGCTTTAAATATACTTCATGTCCTTTTCTCATCTCTTTCTGGAATTCTCATAACACTAATACAGTAGTTTCTCCTTACCCACTGTTTCTGTTCCCATGGTTTGTTACCTGTGGTCAACCACATTCCAAAAATGTGAAAAATTCCAAAAATAAACATTTCATAAGTCTAAAATTGCACAGTCTGTGTAAGGTAATGAAATCTCACTCTATCCTGCCTAATGACTTATCCCTTTGTCCAGCGTATCCACGCTGTATATGCTACTCACTTTTTCGTCACTTAGTAGCCATCTCGTTTATCAGAGCAACTGTTGTTGAACAGTGTTTGTGTTCAAGTAACCCTTATTGTACTTAATGGCCGCAAAGCACAAAGTAGTGTTGCTGCAATTCAGATATGCCAAAGAAAAGCCATAATGCGCTTCCTTTAAGTGAAAAGGTGAGTACAATACAAGATATTTTGAGAAACTGTATTTACGTAACTTTTATACAGTGTATTTTTATCATTGTTCTATTTTATTAGTTATTATTAATTTCTTACCATGTCTCATTTATAAATTAAACTTTATCAGAGGTATGTATGTATAGGACAAAAAATAGTATATATGGGTTCAGCACTGTCATGGTTTCAGGTATCCACTGAGGGTCTTGGAACATACTCCACAATTTTCATAGTCCTTCTATACTCTTGTTTATTCTCTTTTCTTGTTCCTCTAACTAGATAATTTCAAATGTCCTATCTTCCAGGCCACTGATTCTTCTACATTGTTATATCTGCTTTTGAATTCTTAAGCTCAGTGTTATTTTTCAACTCTAGGATTTGAATTTACTTTTTGATGGTGTCTATTACTTTGTCAAACTTCTTGTTTTGTTCATGTAGTGTTTTTCTAATTTCATTTAGTTGTATGTTATAGTTCACCAAATTTAAGAGGATTATTCTGAATTCTTTATCTGATAATTCATAGATCTCTATTTCTTTAGAATCAATTACTAGAGCTTTACTAGTTTCCTTTGGTGGTCTCATATTTACCGGGTTTTTCATGGTCCCTGCTATCTTATGTTGGTATCTACACACTGGAGTAAATGGTCTCTTCTTCCAGACTTTACAGATTCACTTTGGCAGAGACAGATCTTCACCAGCCAGCTCAGTTTAGGTTTCTGTATGTGTCTGCAGGTGATGTCCTTGGGCAGGTGAGGCTTGGTGAGGCACTTGTTTGAGATCAGGGAAGGTGGAGTGCCACTGGCTGAGAAGAGCTGGATAGGACTGCTGTCTTGGTTCCCTCCCCAAGTGAGTCTGTAGAATGGCCTTCATTTCACGATTGCCTGAATTCTCTGATCAGGCTTACTAGATAGTCGAGACTGTACCCTCTACTCCAGCAGTCCCCAATTTTTTTGGCACCAGGGACTGGTGCTTCTATGAGACTGCAGTGCCTGATGATCTAAGGCGGTGATGCTAGCACCAGGGAACAGTTACAAATACAGATGAAGCTTTGCACACTTGCTTGCTGCTCACCTCCTACTGTGCGGCCCAATTCCTAAAAGGCCACAGACTGGTACCAGTCTACGGCCTGGAGGTTGGGGACTCCTGCTCTACTCAGCAGTAGGTGGGGCTATAAGTTAGCTTCCCTGCCCTGGTGAGGCAATGGGACAGCAACCTAGACCTCGTCTGGGGACTCCAATCAGGCAAGAATGTGTACTAAATATCTTGGTCAGGGGAAACCACTGGTTTTGCTCTACAGACAGGAAAAGCCATGGTCTGTGCTTTCTGTTCCAGTGCCACTATAAGCAGGGCTGTTGGATGGGATATGCATCTTCATGTGTGTTCTGGTTGGGTGGTCTGAAGGCTGTATTCAGCAATATGTGAGGCTACAAATTTTCTGTCCTGGGCTCAGTTTTCAGGAAAAGCAGCTCTAAAGCCACAAATGCTCTTGTTTGTGGCTTTGACACAAGCTCATTTGTGCCCCAAGTTCCCTGGCCAGACAGGGCCACTGCCTTTGCTCCAGAAGCAATCAGCTCTGCCCGCCCACCTTCCTCTCAGCTATAGAGTTGGTGGGACATGCAGGTTCTGGTTGTTCTTGCCAACCCTTCCTGCAGGAGCCACTCTGCAGCAGAAGGGGATATAAATCAGTTTTTATGATCCATGCACCAGGGTGGACAAAATTCCTCATTTGGAGACCTGAATTAGATCTGTACCCTTGACTTAATTCTACAGATGAGCAAAGCCACTGGTTAGAACTACTAGTTGGACTCCACAGGTAAGAACTAGGTCCGCTAAGTGTTGGGTTTTGGAAGCCCCTCCCCCTTTTCTGTCACAAATTCCCAGTGTTTGAGCCCCACAGGTACACCTGGTATCCCCATGTGGCAAAACCAGACTAGGGGCTCCTATAAAACGATGACCTACAATTCTAGGGGTGCTCGATGTCACCCCTGGGCTCTTTTTTTTCCCTCCAGAGGAACTGTAAGTTCAGCATGGTACTGTACCAGCCTAGGGGAAGAGTGGTGAAGTTAGCCATTCCTCTTATCCTTTTAATGCAATCTGTCCTGGTCTCTGGTGCAAGGGTTACTTCAGCCTCTCTCCTGTGTTCTAGGTTTATCTCACTAGTGTCTTATCCATGAATAGTTTTTCTTTTTAGTAGGAGTAAAATTAGGAACTACCCATGTCACTGTCTTGGTGATGTCACTTTCCTTTTCTTAACTATATCAATTTTCTTCTTCTGTTTTGATGGGATTTCAGTCTGGGAACCAAGATAAGTGCTCTGTTTACCCACAAGGATATGAGCCATGGTTCTTGATGGGGATCGTGGCCCTCATTAGGGGACCCACTGAGATGAGAGCCGAGGGAAGGGGTGCTGACCTGTAATAGGCTGTGTGTGTGCTGGCTTGCAGGTTACCCTGTGGAAGGAGTCAGTCGACGGGCAGTGGGTGTGCATCAGTGATGTCAACAAGGGCCAGGGTTCCGTGTCCGCTTCAGTCACAGAGGGCCAGCAGAATGAGCAGTGACAAGACAGGCGGGGCCCAGCTCCCCATCTGCAGACTCCAGGACTGCCCCTTCCTGGGCCGACTGACCAAACAGCTGGTAGCAAGAGTCTTCAACGCCAAGATAACTTTCCCAGGAGTAGTTAAAACTGCAACCAGATTGATCATCTGCCTTGACATGATTTGATATGGTTTCAAATTCACTGTCTGGCTGAAAGCACTCAAGGAAAAAAACTACAAATGATCTTCAAATCTATTATTTTAAAATATTTTTGGCCATTTTTATGTACTTTTTGGGTTCAGGCATTTTTGGGGGGTGTTGTTTCCAACATAATTAAACATTGTTTATAATTCGCCCTAATTAGCCTCCCTAAAAAAATTCATTTTGACTCTTGTTGGTCACTGTACTAGAACATTAACCTGTTGGCCTGGCAAAACCCCACCTACAAAGCTGGTCTGTCATTGTGTAAGCATCCTTGTGATAGTTTATACAGAAGATACTGTACAAAACACTGTAAAAGGAGTGTTAGACCTGGTCTTCAGTTACAGAGACTGTAACCTTGGCTCTGCTACTTAGCCTGAGAACACATCCTCTTCTGTAGAAATAAAGTCTGCGCTACAGAATGGTCACAAGACTCAAATGAGCTGATGCACATGGGTGACCAATCAAGTGCAGGGTGGTATTAACCAAATAGCAATACTAGAGACTGGCCAGAAAAGAGGACGATTCATTTTGTTTACTGACCCTGTCAGTGATCAGAGGGGCTTGTGATGGAGGGGTCCTAAAAGACCCTGAACCAAGTATCACCTCTCAGCAGAGATTCTGAGACTCTCACCTAAATCAACAGTCACAACAATAACTACCATTTACTAGGACCTGCTGTGAGCTGGCACTACACACATTAAGCAGCACAACAAACCTGTAGTTATATGTCCCCAGTTTACTGAAGAACTGGCACAGAAGGTGAGAGTCCTGCCCAGGGTTGTCCACACTGTCAGATGAGATAAAGCTGGTATGTGAGTCTTGATCCATCTCAACTCCAAAGTTAGAACTCTCGACGTAGAATCAGGGAGTATAGAGGCTCCTCAGCTGTCATCTAGGGGTAGTGATCACACCAGACTTTTATATGCATATACTTAAATAAAAAAATCAAGCCACTCATCCTCAGGAGGCTATGTACACAGTAAGTGTGGACTCCTATTCCTCCTGCTCCTTGTCCTTTGTTTCTGAGCAGCAAAACCCATTTTGAAATCTTAGATCATAAGACAAACTGGGAAAAGGTAGAATTATTTTGGTTGAAGGGAAGATAGGCCATGCCCCAGCCCACTCAGCCTCCCCAAGTCATTCTGCAAAATCCCAGCCCTTGGAGAATATGAAAACTGCTATTTTCTTCTGCTGTTCACAAAAGAAAGGCCCAACAAGCACCTGTGCTTACATTTCTCAGTGGATGTAGACCATACTGTTCTAGTTAGCTCTGCATACATGTCTGCCTTCCCTAATTAGCTCTGTGCACCCCAAGGGCAGTCCTGGTCTTCCTGATGGTACCTGCTACTGTCAAATGAATGAGAAGAGACGAGTCCTATGTCATACACTGGGTTGGTAATAGGTTAGTGGGCTCCTGGCCATATACTTGATTTGTAGCTTATGTCACCAAGGATCAGTTAAGATAATCTGGAATTAAATAAAATTACCACCAGAACAGTTGATGCTTAGAGTGGTAGTAACACATTAGCCATTTCTGAGGTCAGGAAAATCCCCAAAATTTGTTACTACAAAATAGGCTAAGTGGAAATACTATGTCAATATTACAGGGCAGTTGCCACCCCAAGATGAGATGACTGTAATGGTAATTTAAAAGAGACAAAGTTCTGGCTAGGGCAGGATGGCAGTGGCTACCACAATAATTTTTATTCCTTTCACAAAAACAAAGCAACTAGCATAGCAAAAGAAACCCCCAGATAACATTAAGGTGGTCCCTCCAACCACTGAACATGAAGTAGTAGGGCCACACAATTCAGAGCCATTACACTAGTTTGGGACAGGCATAGAGAAAAACGAGGGGTATTTTTTATGATCTTTTGAACCAGATAACCGAAGAATTACCATCAAATACTCAATTCTAAAAAAAACTCAGCAAGCCAATGAGAGCAGCTGTCAAAACTAGAAGTTTTACAGGCTTTCATTTATACATGAGTTCAGAAAGACTACAGGGAAGATTTCTACTTCTTCGCTTGAAGGATTAATAACTATGAGTTTTCCTCATACTGTAAACAAGTAGAAAACCACACAAAATACATGAAACAGCTGCTTTCAGACATAGGACAACAGGAAGTATTTGGAAGAAGGGAAATAAGAGGAGCACCACAATCGCCTCGGCTTACTGCCTAGAGGCAGTTTCCAGGCCAAAGCGCAGGGAGACAGAATGCAGTAGTCTCACTGAGTTGCAGAGACAGATCAGAGCTCAGGAAGGCTAAACTAGAACTTAGGGGTAGAGTACTAGAGAAGAGGGAGCTGCTCAGAGAGATCTGCAAAAAGGTCTCAGAGTCTGACCAAGTACTAACCTGCATATATGAAGGGTGAAACTCTTCATGACCGGAGAGCAATAGACCAAACAATTCCTGGAAATTCACAGAGGAGTGGGAATAGTTCATTTTCCCAGAAACTAGAGTGCAACAACTTCCATCAACGGCATCGAGTAGAGTCCCAAGAAAGATCATGCCTTAATCTTAAATTAAGTCTAGAGAAAAGGCTGCTCCGGATCCTAAAAGGATCTAACCAAATCAAAGCCCAACACTCTAAAGGAATAACAAAATTTACTTGACAACTTAAAATTCACACTATTGAAGCCAATCCAAAATCACTGGTATACAAAGAAGCAGGAAAATATTATCCATAGCCAGGAGAGAAAAAACAGACCCAGAAATGAGACCATGGAATTAGCAGATAAGGACCTTAAAAAATATCTATTATAAAAATGTTCAAGAACGTAAAATGAACATGAGAAAAATGGGAGATAAAAGTTGCAAATGGAATTTCTAGAAATGAAAAATTTCAATATCTGAAATGAAAATTAACTGGATGGGAGTAAAAACAAATTAGACACTACAGTGAGCAAGATCATTAAGTCTGAGGACAGCAAAATAAACTACACAAACGGACATAGAAGGGTACTGGAAAAAAAAAAAAAAGCAATTGTGACCTGTGGGACAATATTAAATAACCTAAAATATATATAAATTGGAGTCCCCAGGAGGAACAAAAGAGGGTAGGGAGACAAAAAATATTTGATGAAACAGCAGCCAAAATTTTTCCAAATTGGATTAAAACTGTACTACAGACCCAAGAAAATTAGAGAACCACAGCAGAAGAAACACTTACACACACACACATCCATAATAAAATTGCTGAAAATTTTTAAATCATACAAGCAGCCAAAAAAAGACATATTACATACAGAGGAACAAATACAGTTGACCTTCCATATCCATGGCTTTTGCATCTGTGGATTCAACCAATTGCAGACCAAAATATTCAGGAAAAAAGTTCCAGAAAGCTCCAAAAGGCAAAACTTGAATCTGCCACCTACTGAACAGTATGCTGAATCCACACAAATGAAGTGATGTGTAGGCATATCCTACTGGAGCCTATATGCTAATATAGGTTATATATAAATACTATACTATGTTATCTAAGGGGCCTGGCCATTTGCAGATTTTGATTATCCACAGGGGGTCCTGGTACCAGTCCCCCACAGATACTGAGAGACAACTGTATAACAGTGTCGGTCAAATCATAAATTATGCAAACCACAAGAAAATTAACATCTTTGAAGCGCTGAAAGGAAAAACCATCAGCCTATAATTATATACCTAGTGAAAATATATTTTTAAAATAAAGGTTAAGAGTGACAGTAGCAGCAGCAGCAGCAGGGCAGAATGAGACAGCCCCTTTGTATCTCCTTGTAAATTTACAACTAGTCAAACTTCTGTAACCTAACAGAGGTTCCACTGCTCAACATACTAGGATTCCTGAGAGATCCATACATCAATGAATCTGAAGCTGGGTGTATTGGAACATGTAGGGGAAGGAGGAGAGGAGGAAAAATAGGGACAGTGCCTGCAGATGCAGTTCCCTAGCTGCCATGGCTGAGTGCTCAGCCCCAGTGAATGCTGTAGCAATGGAGGAGTTGGGGTGTGGCCCCCACACCACAGCTGGTAGAGGGGCACCCCAGAATTCAGCTCCCTCCCTCAAGTGCAGCCAGAATCTGGTGGCAGCAGCATAGATACATCTACAGCCTCCTGCAACACCAGCAGCCATAGGGAACCAGATAGCAGCACAGCAGGCTTATGAACCTGCCTCCCTCCACCATGGTGGTGGTGCCTGAGACCCAGGAAACCTGGATACAGTGAGGGAACCTACTCTGGAAGGCGATGCCCATGACAACAGCAACATCCCCCAACCACAACCCCGGAGGTGCAAGTAATGCACGTAAGACAGAAAGTTGTACTATAGCATCATTGACTGGAAAACAAAAGAAAGACCTCTAAATATCAACCTGAATTGTTAAAATGATACCTAAATAAGAAAGGTGTTTACTTCAAATGTGCCAGCAAAGGAACAATCCATCAAATACCATGAACGACCAGTGTAACATGGTAATACAGAATATGACAGTTCTCCAGAATTCAAACTCAAAGTCATGAAAGATTGTGACCTAAATGATGAATTCAAAATAGTTGTCATGAAAATACTCAACAAGGTACTACAAAACTCAGAAAGGCAGTTCAGTGAATTCACGAATAAAATTATTGAACAGAAAGAGTACTTTACCAAAAAGACTGAAACTGTAAGAAAGAATCGAACATATTCTAGAGCTGAAGAACTCAATAAATGAGATGAAAAATGCATTAGAAAGCATTGGAAATAGAGCAGACCATAGGGAAGAGAGAATTAGCAAGCTCAAAGATAGAAATCTAGAAATCAGGTGGAAGAGGTAACAGAACTAAGATTTTGAGAAATGAAAGAACTCTACAAAAACTATCTGGCACTGTTAGAAAGGGCAACATAAGGATAATGGATATCCCATTAAGAGAAAGAAGGAGAAAAGGACAGAGAGTCTATTTAAAGAAATAATTGATGAAAATTTCGCAAACCTAGGGAAGGAACTGGACATTTAAGTTACAAGAAGCTAACCTAATTATCTCAATGCAAAATGACATTCCCCAAGACACATTAAAACTGTCAAAAGTTAATGATAAAGAATTCTCAAGGAAGCTAGGGAGAAAAGATAACCTATAAAGGAAACCCCATCAAGTTATCAGACTTCTCAGCCAGGAGAGAGTGGAATGATATAGTCAAAATATTTAGATAGACGGAAACCAGCAGCCAAGAATATATCCAGCAAAGTTATCTTTCAGATATGAAGAAAGAAAGGCTTTCCCAGACACACAAAAGCTGAGGGAATTTACCACCACAGACCTGCATTACAAAAAATGTTGAAAGGAGCGCTTCTACCTGATAAACACAAAGTACACAAAATTTTGAGTAAGGCGACACACAGAAGTAGAAAATTGCAACTCTATTTCAGAATAGGGTGTTAAATGGTCAAATATGGTTAAAGGGGGGGGAA